CTAATATACAATTGTACGTTGATAACACAGATCTGATTTTCCAACCAGATAGTGTGACAAACTATTGTTCTTTAATATTACTACAGTGGATAGAAAAAGTCTACACACCCCTGTTAAAATGCCAGGTTCTTATGATGTAAAATAATGAGACAAAGATAAATCATGTCAGAACATTTCCACCTTTAATGTGACCTATAATGTGAACAATTCAATAGAAAAACAAATTGAAATCTTTGAGGGGGAAAAATGAAAAATAAAAACCTATCTGGCTGCATAAGTGTGCATACCCTCTTATAACTGGGGATGTGGCTATGTTCAGAATTAACCAATCACATTCAAACTCAGGTTAACTAGAAGTCATTACACACCTGCCATCATTTAAAGTGACTCTGATTAATCACAAATAAAGTTCAGCTGTTCTAGTCGGATTTTCCTGATATTTTCTTAGTTGCATCTCCGATTAAAAGCCATGGTCTGCAGAGAGCTTTCAAAGCATCAGAGAGATCTCATTGTTGAAAGACATAAACCAGGAGACGGGTACAAAAGAATTTCCAAAGCATTAGATATACCATGGAACACAGTGAAGACAGTCATCAAGTGGAGAAAATATGGCACAACTGTGACTTTACCAAGTACTGGACGTCCCTCCAAAATTGATGAAAGGTAAAAAGAGAAAACTGGTCTGGGAGGCTTCCAAGAGGCCTACAGCAACATTAAAGGAACTGCAGGAATTTCTGGCAAGTACTGGCTGTGTGGTACATGTGACAACTATCTCCCGTATTCTTCATATGAATGGGCTATGGGGTAGGGTGGCAGGACGGAAGCCTTTTCTTCAATTGAATTGTTCACATTATAGGTCACATTAAAGGTGGAAAAAGTTCTGACATGATTTATCTTTGTCTGAACCTGGCATTTTAACATGGGTGTGTAGACTTTTTCTATCCACTGTATATAATATTGTACTTTCCCCCCCCACATCTGTTATATTATTTTATATTATTGGAAAAATAGCACAAAATTTGTCTGACTCATGATAAAAGCACATATATATATATAATTATACGTTGCCCAAAGGCAGTCACCTTTTTGCTCCTAATTAAAAATGATATGACTCAGAAATATTTATGCTTACAAATTAGCCTATTATTATATCTTAGACCAAACTGGGGTGAAACTTAGCTTACCTCTGACAGAGTCCTCCTCAGCTCTCCCTCACACTTCTCCAGCTCCAGACTCTTGGTACTGTAGGAGTCCTTCAGGCCCAGCATGGTCTCCTCTCGCTCCCTTAGCTGGGCATTGAGCTCTTTCAGCTGGCCTCTCAGGGCCACCATCTCTCCAGCTCGCTGGGTGACTTCAGCCTGACTTTCCCTCAGCTGCTGCTTCAACAGGGAGATCTCTCCCGCCTTCTGACACACCTGCCACACGAAGAACGAGTTAGTGGGTTAGTATTTAAGTGCTATGGTAAATTTACTCCTAATCCCATTGCATACAAGTGGGTTGCATGTACACACATACTTTCAGACAAAGACCGCTTTATGCACACCCTTGTACTCAGCGCTCCACTGCTCAGTCTACCATGATGTAACCCTGATAACATTTTCCTGAACTAGTCAAGCGCACCACCTCATGGACTCCTATCTCACCTCCCACTTGGTCTCCTCCAGACGAGGCAAGATGTCAGCCTGCTCCTTCCTGTAATCCAGACACTTTCTCTCCAGCTCCTCTCTCTGGGCCAACAGAGCTGCCATCTCCTCCTGGAGCCTCCTCTTGTCCTGGGACAGACGGCTTATCTGGGCCTGCAGGGCAGTCTGGGAGCGCTGAGCACGACGGGTAACCTGCAGACAAAATGTACATACACAGTGTAAGCAGGTCTGCAAATAACGATACTTTTCATTGTCGATTCCATCTGTTGGTTATTTTATAATTTAATAGTACATCAAACAATAGTTGTTTGGTTTATAAAAGATTAGTCTAGAAAATGTCTTAATTCTTTTATTAGTCTTTCCCAAAAACCAAAATGACATCCTCAAATGTCTTGGTATTGCCCCACTAGCCCGCCCCAAAACTGTTGCTAAGTTGGATCAAAGTATCTAGTGTGTTCACCTGCTGAAGGCGCGAGGCATAGTTCTGTCTCAGCTCGTCCATCTGTCGCTCCCAGACACGTTGCTTCTCCTCAAACACCTGAATGATTGCTGCCTCACTTTGGTCCAAGTTTCTGCGCATATGTTGCACCTGGTAGAAAAGAGGAAGAAGGGAGCCAGAAAGCAGCTACTTAAATATTAAAAGTGAAAGAAATCCAACTTGGACAACAAAATGTGGGATATCAATAGTCAGCTGCTAAAAAACTGCTCAAGATACAGTTTGCTGGTAAACTGCATGAAGGCTGTGATGTGAGCACCCCAATAAAAATTCCATTCATCTCCACTGTATTGGGGTGGCAGCAGAAATTTTAGAAACAGAGATTTTAACACTGGGGAAAGTAAATGGTTATAATTTGGGTGAACTGAGTCTTTAAACATTACATTTATTTATTTTGCTGACACTTTTATCCAAAGTGACTTACAATTGCTATACATGTCAGAGGTCACACGCCTCTGGAGCAATGAAGGGTTAAGGACACAATGGTGGATGGGTTACAGTGGGGGATTGAACCCAGGTCTCTCACACCACATGCATGGTCTTATCCATTGCGCCATCACCACCCACCACTAAACAGCTGGCAAATATCCTTTTTAATGGAGTGCCCTCAAAGTGCAAAACAGCTGCTAATCAGACATTTCTGAGTGGCCTCTGACCTCTTGTTCTTTCTCCCACAAGCGGTCCTCTAGGTCCTGGATGATGTCATCAGATGAGGGGGAGGGGCGTAGAGGTGCTGGGGCATCACTCAGGTGGCTCAGTCTCTGATAGGACGAGGAGCTCTTTCCTGAGGAGGACCGGCCACTGTCTGAGGCGCTGAGCCCGTTCTGGAGGAAAGATCCACATGATGATGCGTTAAAGATGGTTAACAGCAAAGTGCATGAAGTGGTGGACTAAGTGAGAATGGATGATGGCCATACCTGGTAGCCAGGCTTTTCCAGCTTGTCCAGGGCTGCAGCTGCCCCAACCATGCCCAACCTGTTGATGTGGCTGGTAGAAGCACTGAGAGGCCCCAGGACTGCTGGGGGCCCACAACCAGACCCCGAGCCTGTATAGGTGGGCAGGCTGGTCAGGGAGTTCCTCCCTGAGTCAGACATCCCTCCCTGAACCACTTCATTCCCATTTCCCCCACCCTCACTTCTGCTGACCCTCACTGGGCTGTCCTGGTCCAGGAGCAGGGCCTCTGGGACCTCTCCTGATTCCCCTCCTGCTCCGTCCCTCCCTCTCCTGCCTCCTCTGCTCTCACTGAACCCTTCACTCCTTGCCTCAGTCTTGCCCTCGCTCCCAGCCCCTCCTGCCTGGCCCACCAGGTTCTGCATGGAGTGGAAGCTCTTGGGAACCACTGGCTTGAAGGCAGAGGGACGAACGAGTCCTGAGTTGTTCTGCATTGCCTACAAAAGAGATGGAGGAAGGAAGGAAAGACAGTAAGAGAAACAGATACATTACTGCAGCTCTGAGACAAAAATACACTGCAGCCAAAGATTCAATGACATAATTCAGCATTTTGATGTGTTAAGCATAATAACACAATATAATACATATCGTGATATATTTGGAACTGCTTGAGATGTATTTGTTTATTTCCTGAGACACTTTAATCCTTGCAAATAGGTATATGCCAGATGGAATAAATAATTTTCTAAAGGTTGGGGTTTTGATTTCAAGTCTTAATACAATACTCACATATCCATTAAGTGTTATAGGTGGCTATAATCATTCCTCCTATCCATGCTGGCCATGAGGTGATACCATTCTAATGTGACTCCAAAGTAAGAGAGTGATGATGAGATTCACAGTTCTCGTTAAGTACCACCAAAGCTAATATGTAGCTTCAGCAGTCTTAGACAAAATAAAATAAATCTTCCAAAGTTATAGTCTTTTTAGTATGAAATTCCCCCCGTTTGCTGAACTGTGGTGGAGGAAATTTGGTACTAAAAAGACTCATCTGATTTGTCTAACTTGGCCACTGCTGAAGCCACACGATAGCTTTGGCTGAAATTTCTAATGCATATTTGCGCGGAATAAGCACAGTGAATTTTGTCCCCCCTCACTAACATTTGAGTTGCGCTACGTAGAGATCACTTCACCACCAGTATACAGCAACCAATAACTCTTTCAACATGCATGCAAGTTTTGAATCAAGTCACGCTTGAAAACTCTGAACCTATATTTTAAAAGTTTGAAATATGGTGTTCTACATCAGTGGGGTCCAAAACCTTTCTGCTTGCAACCCCTTGTCACAGGCTGCATATCTATGAGTTGTGAGCAGTTTAACTTAAGGGTGAGTTTCCTTTCTCTGACTGTTCCATTTCAATAGTTTCTAAAGGCCTGAAGACGTAAAATGAAACAAAGTCTTTAACAAGGAAAAAGCGAAGATTTGAGAACAGTTGGAAAAATAAACATAATGTTGTTTTTCACTATGTCCTACCCAGCTAATCGTTTTGTGACACCTTTGATAATTTTAATGATGACCCCCAGGTTGAGAACCATTGTCCTCAATCTTGAAGTACCTGCTCCAGTTTTCCCGACACTGGCAGGATCTTGGGCGGGTTGTGGTTTGGTGGGTTATGGCTGCCTGGATTGTTCTCACTATCACTTCTGGTGGCTGCCATCTCTCTGTGGTGGTGTTGGTTCATGCCAATGCTGTTCTTCTCGTTTCCTCCTCGGCCCACAATGTTCCCACAAACATCTAAACCTGCAGCCTGCATTTCCCTCTCTCTCTCTCTTTCCATCCTCTCGTTCTCCAGCCTCTCTCTTTCCCTCTCCCTCTCTCTTTCCCTCTCTCGCTCCCTCTCCCTTTCTATCTTCTCCCTCTCAATTCTTTCTCTTTCCCTCTCTCTGGCTCGCTCCCTCTCCCGCTCCCTCTCTCGCTCCAGCCTCTCCCTCTCCACTCGTTCCCGCTCCCTCTCCCGGTTCCTCTCCCTTTCTCGCTCCCTCTCTAACCTCTCTCTGTCCCAGTCTCGGTCTCGGTCCCTGTCTCTGCCCCGCTCACGCTGCCTCTCCCTCTCCCTCTCCCTCTCCCACTCTCTCTCCCGCCTGCCGTTGCCACACTCCAACTGGTTGTTGTTGGACGGGGCGGTCATGGTACATTCAGTGTTGGTAGAGGAGGCTGTTTCGGTGGGCCGGTCAGTCCCGGTACAGGTCCCAGTCCCGATACTAACACTCCCTCGTTCATCGCTAGAAGCCGTCCCGTCTGATATAGTCGCCGGGGGGCGGGGCAGTCGCTCTGCGCTGCAGCTGCGGTCGGCAGGGCAACGGCGAGAGAGAGGAGGGGCCCGGGGAAGGGTGGTCCTCGTGCCCACAGACTTCATGGCAAACTCCTGCTCTCCTGCCACCCCACTGCCAACACTGCCCATAGTGGGGGTCAAAGGTCAGGAATTAGAGGTTAGGAGTCAGGATTGGGGAGGGTCACAGATACATTTGGAAGAAGTGTGGGTCATCACAACCTAATGCAGGTAGTGGGGGCACACACACTAGAGGAACACAGAAAAACGAAAGGAGTTATACAATATTGTAATTGCATAATGACTAGTTATACAATAATAGTTAATGCAGAATAGATTCCAACCCACATACAGGGGCAGCGTGGTCCTCCCACCATGATAAAAATGAAAAGGGTCACAAAGATAAGTCTGGATAATTATGCTTACAGAGAGTGTATAAATAAAATGTAAAAATAAAACCTGTCCTCCAGTTTAATGATAAAATAACAGTGTTACTTTCTATTTATGTCACATGTTTATTATGTATACAGTTTGTAGGTAAGATGTAAATTTGACTATTTTGTTTGTGTACATTTACATTTATGTGATACTTTTATCCAAAGCGACTTACAATTGCTATACATGTCAGAGGTCGCACACCCGGGTCTCTCACACCAAAGGCAGGCATCTTATCCATTGCGCCATCACCACCCCATTGTGTGCATAAGTTAAATGGATGCTGGGTGAAGAGGTCACTCACACCAGACCAGTGCAAAACAGAATTATACTGGATATTGTGTCCTCACTGAACTGGAGGAGGGTATTTGTTTTGTTGTTTGCATTTTTGTGAACACAAATACAAGAACACCTGTATAAAACAGATCTACCATACAAAATAACAGCCCTGCAATAAAAACATTTTTGTTCAACTTCAGTTCAGGTTTCGTTCACTCTATCAGAAAAATGTTGCTCAGGATTTCACAGATCCCACTGCTCTATGTGTTAAAACAATGACTATAATAATTGCTAAATCAAACTTTTTTCTAACTTTTAGATATTTTTTCTTTTCTTTTTATCCTATAAATCAATATGTAGTAAATTGTTTATGAGGTAGCCCTTCCAGTTGCCAAAAATTTTGCTTGCACATTTAATGAACGTGACAAAATATGGACATGACTGTAAAGAAATGTTATTACAACAAACAAAAAAATATTCATGGTATATATGTTATATGGGCCATGCATTAACAAATATATATTCATTTTGGTTGCCAAAAAGTCATTCACAGACAAATGTCTACATATCCTACATTTTGGGTCCAAATAGATTTATTTGGGTTTGGGGTAGTGCTGTGTAAAAAGGCAACACTAACCACAGATAGGGTAAATGAAAATGAAAATTAGGTTTATGAGCAATTCTCATAAAAAAAGGAAAAGTTATGCAGTCATTCAGCATTACTTCAGGGTTATGGTAACTTTTAAAGTAGTACAATCCAACCCAAAAATACCAAAAACTATGGCCTAAAGATTGCCATAGAGCATTGTCAGCAGTCTCAATGCCAACATCTCAACATTGTAAACTACACGAAAGAGCTGTTATTGGTTTGCATGAATCTGCAGTGTGCAGGTATTCCTGTTAATGTGTCCACCCAATATACACTCAGTTGCCAGTTTATTAGGCACACCTAGCTAAAATTAATGCGGATTAATACAACACCCCTGCAATAAATCCTTCATGAAGGTGATATTGTTATTTTTTTGTTGAAACTGTTCTGTAGATAAGTTGATTCAACTTTACTCTTGTTTTGGAGGCTATAGTTTGTGGTGCTATTTTGTATTTTGTTATACACCAGGCTGGTGTGCCAACTGGGCAAAGTGGGCAACTGGTAAGGCCAGAGGTTATCTGTGTGGCAGTGACTTTGTAGAAATATGCACCAATAAAACATGGTAAAAACTGAAATGGTATGCCTAACTTGATCAAATCTCAAGGTCCTGTCTTTACTATTTACTATACTCCAAGTTGCTATTATGTTCCACGCTGCATATTTTTAAGTAAATGTTGTTTAATCAAATAATCGCAAGTATACTGGTTGGTTGCAATGTGAGTGTGGGAGGCTCAATTGGCCCCCCCTAGCTGGTTTATCTGGCCCTGGTAGTCCACCTTCAACCAAGATTTTAGAAACACTTCTCAGGAGAACAGTATAAAATATAACAGCACCACAAACTACAGCCTCCAGTGTGACCATAACTTTGAGTCAACACCTCTGTAAAACAGTTTCAACAGAGGATTTATTGCAGGACTGCTATATTAGACTGAAATACCTGCTAGCTTGGGGTACGTCATCTACAACTCTTTCCCTTCGTTTCCTGTTAGCCATTTACTGCCTCCTATGAAGGCAGACACATCCAAACACACTGAGAGAAACACCTCTCAGCAATGCAATACAACTCAACATCACCACAAAGTGCAGCCTCCAAAATTACCATAAAATTGAATCAACAACTAAAACAGAATATATATCCTTTATATGGATAGGATGTGTTGCAGTAGGTGGCTAGATAGATAGATAGATAGATAGATAGATAGATAGATAGATAGAGGCAGTCATGCCAGTGCACCTCCCCTCCTCAGCCCATTTACTAGAGGTTTACTTCCACTTGGGTGAATAGTAGTAGTAGTAAAATACACTGCCCATCTATCTGCTGCTCTGCCTCAATCCCCTCCCCTCACGACTCCCCCCCTCTCTCCCTTTTTCTCTGCATCCCTGGGCGGCAAGGGCGGCTTTAGCAGCATCCGCATCAAGCCCTGAATTGACTGCGCTCCCAAACAATTACTCGCTAGGCCTGTGACAAGAAACAAACGCACGACCCTCGCTGAATAGAAAACAAATACATCTACCTACATTAAAATGCACAGCGTCATTGACATTGACGACAGTGGCTTTGATTTACCGATTGTAGCATCCTGGCGGTCCATCATCAAAGGCTACTCACTATTTTGCAGCTCGGCGGTTTGTAAGATGGCAGCCTCAATAAACAATATTGTCACAAAGCAGCAACGTCAGTCCAGGTCGGTCGGGCTCTGAATTATTCTGTGATGTTACCATGGGTCCGTAATATTAGGGATGCTGTCTTCGACCGCTGTCAGCGTCGGATGCTGATGATGGAGTCGGTCGGTTGATACGCGCATCAGCTGAGAGACACACACCCACCTCTGGTCCCGCCCCTTCGGCTGTATGAGACAAACGCCCCCTTTTGGCATTGATCAAGTGCTCTCCCTCGGGAAAAGCCTATAGAGTAATATACAGTCCCCTGAATGGATGGATGGATGCGCAGAGGTGGATGAGACACTGGACGCAAACAGGAGTGATGCATGCCCAGATAAATGAGTGTGTTTATTATGTTTATTAGCCTGCTCAGTAATTATTTTGTTTGTTTCTTTTTTTTAGAAAAGTTTTGTTTCAATATTCATGTTCAAGTTTATTTGCTGCTGAAGTCTGTTGACATCTCCTTTTGGGTCACCCATCATTTTCAGGACATTTCACCCATTTCAACATGTGATACAGAACATAAAATACTCAACTAAAAACAACATTCTTTTAATTTACAGCCACATTAGCTGGTTTCTTTGGATACTTGGAGAATGCGCAACACAATTTCACCATAAAGTCGTTATAGTGTATTTGTTAGCAAACATTTGCCCACAGCCTGAAAACGTCCAGCGGACACAGATCGTTGTCACTTATTTGGAGAAAAGAACTACAATTCACTTTTACACTTTTTTAGGTCAGTTTTGGTTTCCTGAGATAAATACCTGTGTCTTTATTTGTTAAATGATCCACCAGCTAGTCCCTAACTTTGTCTGTCTGCTGTTTGATGCCTTGGGCTGTCCTATCTTCACATCATGTCACATTCCCCTAGCAGCTTTAATGCACATTCAAGTCATCTAAATGCTGCAGTACCTTTATCCAATGTTTTATTAATGGCAAATAAGAAAACCTTTTGTTATTAAGGGGAAACTGCATTTGAAATCAATTCACTGGTCATAGCCATCTACAATGTTTTTTAGATAAACTAGTTCACCAGAAGGACTTCTTAAATGAAGATACTTCAACCAAGTCCAGTTGCCTTTGACTTTAACCTTCGTTGGATAACTATGACCTGGATGACTGAGAATCTTCACAGACACCAGCAATTTAGTTTTGCACTTCCATAAAGTTGTGTGGCTTTTGACGGGACTACTCAAATACAATGCTGCAAATATATGCAAGATATCCAGATATTTAGTCCCTGACATGGGTCAAGCTGCAGGTTTTGTTTTTTGGCAGACCCAGGAGTGGATACAGACTTGACGGAGGATGTTTAATAAAATGTCTTAAGAAAAAGAGTATAACCGAAAAGTGGATGACGATGGCAGGTGAGCTGAAGGGTGATCAGTATGCCTGGAGGAAAGTTGGTACGCAGTTTGGTAGGAGTCTGAGAAGCGACAAGGGGTTGCTGGCTTGACACAAGATGCTGGCCCTGGTATCTTGAAGCACAGGGAAAACCACATTAGAAACATACACTAGAATAACTATACCACTGAGTGGACAGAATAATCTGAGTGGCAGTAGAGTATGAGGAGAAGTTTGATGAGTAGATTTCAATCAGGTATGAAGATGAGCCAGGTGCCTGGAAACGAAAGCAGTGCCCACAACAGAAACATGCACAGACACACAAGGGAGGAGGGAACAGAGAAACACAGAAAACTGCTGGAGTCACTGTTAGAGCGGTGACACAAGCTACAAATATGCTGGGTCCTACACTTCCTATAATGCAACTCATCATCATCTTTCATTAGACCTGCCCTGCCTGGTAAACACTGTGTTCTTTCAAACTCCACTTTCACTCGCACATGTAATAATTTAACAACTTATAGATTTATCAGATTCCTTTTCTTCTACTCAAAGTTTTTTATCCCATGTGCAGCCCACTGTAGAGCTCTTGTTCCCGATGTATTTTTGAATCACTTAATTATGGCTTTGTGCGCTTTTTTGTATCTTTGTGGTTGTTACATCCTCATTCTTCTCTTTTGCTTGTCCTCCCCCCCTGCTGAAGTGGTGAGGAAAATGAGCACCAGTGTGCACCCTGCAGGATGGGAGGGGAACATCCCAGGCACAAAGCACACATGCAGAGTAAATCCAAAAGTCCATGGTAGGAGTTTTTAGAAAGCATTTCCTTATGTGGAAAGAAGTCATACATACATTCATGTCAGGGTTACAGTGTCACGTGTGTAACTGAGGGAGGTTACCACAGGCCTTTTAATGGTTTCAGGTCGACATTTGTTTTTCACAGCAGACTTGGTAAATACGGAAAAACACAAGTGTAACAAATACATGTACAATACAAATACAATTGCTATGTATGTCAGAGGTGGTGGATTGAACCCAGGTCTCTCACACCAAAGGCATTTGTCTTATCCACTGCACCATTACCATACCACCACCTAATTAACATTAATGACTTGGTTTAAATAAAGTGTCCTGGAAATGCCAGTTAAACACCATGCACAAAAGCCGGGCTTTGCTTGGAACAGCTACACATAATAGCATTAATGTTATTAGAGACATCTTTTCCTGCTGTGCCAAAATATGTGCAGTGACTAACAAATACTTGGACTGGCTAGTCAGTAATAGCTGAATGTAGGTACCTGGTAGAATAGAGGACCAGTAGTACTCTGACCCTGATGACAGCATTAACTTACTTCAGACTATTTTCTGCATGATCCAATAAGTGATTTTCTACAGAATTTAATTAAAAAGTGATCACATTTCCAGGGCGCCGGTTAATAGTAGTAATAGTACTGTGATCTGATATAATGCGTTTACTTACTCCCCAACCCAGTTTTCTAATGTAATATAGGATAAGGTAGTGTAATGCTCTATGGTATAGTTGCCCAAATCCACAAATTTATTTTTTAGGCCATTGCAGTCTCTATACAATCAAATCGGCAATTTTTAAAGAGATTCTCTTGACTGTCCATTAGGGGGCAGTGGTGTCTATTTGCTGGCAACTTGTACTGCCACTGACTGGCAGCTGCAATACTGCTGTAAGCATGGGTGGGGGTGGGATTGGGGGGGGACCTCTCAGGTCTCCAGGGATTCTCTGACTCCCTTTGGCCACTATTGAGCGCTATGATTTCTTCCACCCAGCTCAGCTAAACTGGACCCCATTTCTTTGTATATCTCTGTTCTCCTCATTTATTTTGTGTCTGTCAACTAGAGGGGAGTAAGATAAATTGTTGGTTGGTGTTTATTAAGAATAATAATTTCTCTAATTTCATGTAATGTCAGTTTTTAATTCCATTTGTTTGGTGCCAAAACTAGGGTATGGAATTTATTTAAGAACCTTTAAAAAAAATCTTTGCATCCCAACAGCAATTAATGAAACAAATGCACTAACACAAAAATGAAAAAAAAAAACATTTGTAATAAGCACAGCTGGCATACCTGCCTATCTGTGCGCACTCTGCACTCACTGAGCATGAAAATGTGTTTTGGGGGAGCCTGCATTCAGAGTGAAAGTACATTGTATCCAGGAAATAGCTCATATAGACATGCAGTTCATGGATCTTCTTTTGCTGAGATGCAAGAGCTATTTCAATTGATTATGTCAGTCATTTAACATAAACAAGCTAGCGTATCAATTCACTTAAACACAGCCTGTGGTAATTTTCTCTCATATAAATCATGGAATGCATGAAAGGATGATCATTCTTTATTGTAGTTTTGCAGTTTTATTGCATGTTCTTGTCTTGGCATTTTAAGTGTTTAATATTATACACACAAATGTTTTATGGTCTCTATGATTTGTTGTCCATAAATGCAAGTTTATAAAGTGCTTTATTAGATTTATAGTGAAATGATGCTAGTCAAAAACTTTTTTGTTTTAAAGAAGTTGTGCAATTGTCATTTTAATTATTCTGGATCAAATAATGTATTTTTAAAAATGTAAGTCCTTTAAACATATGAATATTCTATTTACTAATGTGGCACTCAGTTAATACTCCTTTTCTCTTAATTCTCTTGTCACTGTGAAATATAACACGTGACGTCCATTAGTTCTGCATGGTTATGTTGGGTTATAAAAGCAGCTCAGCATTCACATCCTTCTCACATGCTGACAAAAGCAGTGGTCTCTATTCATTTCACATTTGATGTAAGTCTCTTTTCATATCCCCTTTTTTCCACTTTTTTCACTGACCATCACTTACACCACCAGAGAAAACTTGACAGGATGCCAGACATTTACTCTTTGAACCCCAGGACTCTGGACCGGTGCTTCTGTATCATCACAGGAGCCTCCAAGGGATTTGGACAGGTGGTGGCACACAAAGTAAGTGATCAGGTTGTAGAAAAATATAACATAAGAACAAAAGACAAAAAGACAAGCAAACAAACATTTTGTGTCCATCCACGTGTCCCACTTGCTGAAGCCCGGCTCTGTCCTCCTGCTGGTAGCTCGCTCTAAAACTCTGCTGCAAGACATGAAGGACAAGCTGCAGAGCTTCACTGAGGAACAGCAGCTGGTGGTTCTCTACATAGCTGTCAATCTCAGCAGGAGAGAGGGGGTGAATGAAACAGTCAGGGTGGCAAGGCAGGAAGCTGTAAATGAAACAGATCATGTGCTTCTTATCAACAATGCTGGTTAATTCTTTTGTTGTATTACCTTTCTACGTACTTCCCCACACCGACTCATGCTCTCTCTTTTTCTCTCTGCTCCTAGCCTCACTGGGTGACATTTCGTTGTAAGTTTCACTGATGCTGATGAGGTGAACTCCTAACTGTCCGTCAACATTAGCAATGCTCTGGCACTGACTGCAGGAATCCTGCAGGTATTTATATGCAGACAAGGCATACGATGGAGAATGGTGAAGGCCTTTCCCTCCTGGGGTGCTGTACTGCACTGCCAAAGTAGCCAGAAAGATGATGTTCACGGTACTGGCTGAGGAGGACCCAAATGTCAAAGTCCTCAGCTACTCTACCGGTATATACAAGTTTATATATTGACCTGTGCCAATGTTAGCTAAAATGAGATTTTTCAAATGTCCCTTGGCCAAATGTTGTATTAACCATAAAAAAATGTACAGTGATGCCTGTGAATAAATTATTAAGTTTATGATGATGGTCTCATACATGCACATGCGCACATACATACACTGTAAAAATTATCTAGGTGGTTCAACTTAAAAACTAGTTTCAAGTTAAAGCAACTTAACCAAATTAATACTACTTTCCATTTCAAGGTAAGGGATTTAAATTCCAAATTTGTTTCAGTTTACATCTATAAAGGGCCTTGAAGACAGACCACAACAACAGCACCACTGTGCTATTATCTTCAATGACTTGTGACGGGGCAGGGTAGCTTGCTGGTGCACCTGTGCACGCCGCAGTCAAAGTTCAAAATAGCAGCAGATGTCACCTCCTTTCTGAAAGGGCCTTAAGGCCGTTGTCTGGAACCCTTTCCACCGTTGGCACTAGTTTTGTTTACCACAGAAGTGTCTATATTTTCTTTGGAATTTGAATATATGACTTATCTGCAGTGTATAATTAGCAGGGGTGAGCAAGAACACCAAATTTTCTGTATCTGTACTCAGAATTGGTGGGGGTTAATCTATAAGTGGGTGGTATTAACTGGAAGTTATTTAAGCCTGAAATTTCTATCAGAACTTGCTATATTTATTAGAAAACCATTTACAGAACAGCCTCAGAATTGAGCTTCAGAGAATAGTAATTGATTTTTTTATATTCATATATTTATAGTTTATAACAAAACAGATATTGACACATTTTACTCTGATGATACTCATAGAAAGTATCTGTACCGGATACTCCTTTTAACTGAGTACTTGCTAAACCCTAATAATTAGTTGATTATGTATATGTTTTTCTCAAACTCAAAAGACGCAGCACCTAGGCAATCCTCATACTCTCGCCTTTTTTTTCAACTGATAACTTACAAACGTAAGTTCAATCAACACGACAAAAGTGTCAAATAGTCAACACAATGAATTAATGCAAGTTTAACTTTCTAAAACTCATACAGTTGAGTTCAAAATCCAAAACTTGTCAGAGCTATTTGAGTTAAAAAGAAGAAGTAAGTTGACATGACTAAATGGGTCTATGATTCTTCTCAGTGTACATGTAACAAGGTGTTTTGATGCACTTATCTGGAAGCCTGTATGTAGACAATGTAAAAGTTTTAAGAAAAGAGCATAATGAATGAAGTAATGTACCATATGTCCATATTTGACCATCTAGTGTGCATGTAATATATAATATAGAGTTAGCCATGGTTTAGTAATGATATCAAAATGTTGTACTTGGAGAGGAAAAATGCTTTTCAGAGTGGAGATATTTGTCAGTATACTGCAGCTAAATATGCATTTGAACGGGCTGTTAAAAAGGCTAAAGCTAACTACAGGGCCAAGCATGAAGTTAAGCTTAGTGTCCATGACAACAGGGGTGTTTGGCAAAGCCTTCAACAGATTACTAACTATAAAAACAGTCATGCGGTTCTTGATGATGATCGCTTGCTACCAAACAAACTAAATGAATTTTATTGTAGATTTGAATGCAACTCTGAATGTACAGTCAGCTCTAATTTCCTCAATGACATAGCTCCCCCTGAACCACCTTTTCTGAAAGAAGAAAACGAGGTCAGGCTACTGTTGAAAAAACAAAACTGCAGGAAGGCAGCAGGCCCCGATCAGGTCTCTGCCGCCACTATTAAATGGTGTGCCGATGAGCTGTCGTATGTCCTTACTGACAATTTTAATTTGTCTCTTAGATTATGTAAAGTCCCAGCGTGTTTTAAATCAGCTATAATCATTCCTGTGCCTAAGAAGTCAAATGTAAGTTGTTTGAATGACTATAGACCAGTGGGTCTAACCTCTGTTATCATGAAAATTTTTGAGCGATTAGTGGCCAATCATCTCACAACTATGTCTTTGGATCCTTTCCAATTTGCATATAGGGAGAACAGGTCTGTTGAAGATGCTGTTTCTCTTTGCACCCATAACATTCTTCAACATTTGGAAGGGTCAGCTACATATGCACGGGTACTATTTATTGATTTTAGTTCTGCTTTTAACAATATTATACCAAAGAGACTGTGTGACAAACTCCTGGGGATGGGTGTTAAGGAGTCCTTATGTAAGTGGATCCTTGCCTTTTTAACCGATAGATCTCAAGTGGTTAAAGTTAATAACTTCTTGTCAAAATCAATGTCCACCAGCATTTGTGCCCCCCAGGGGTGTGTTCTGTCTCCTATTTTGTACTCATTTTATACCAATGACTGTTTTTCTCACCATGATTCAGTCAAGATTTTTAAATTTTCTGATGATACCACTGTGGTGGGCCTCATCACTAATGATGATGAATCGGCTTACAAAAAAGAAGTGTCCTTGCTGGCTGAGTGGTGCTCAACTAACAACTTGTCCCTCAACATCTCCAAAACCAAGGAGATGGTTGTCCATTTCAGGAATAAAAATAGTAAGTCGCTCCAGCCCCTGGTCATCAAGAACAAAACTGTGGAGTGGGTGGAAAGTCTTAGGTTCCTTGGGACCATCATATCCTCCAGTCTTAAATGGGACACCAATGTCAGTCAGATTGTTAAAATAGCTCACCAGCGACTCTTCTTTTTAAGACAACTTAGGAAATTTAAAGTGTCCCAGGCGGGTATGCTCCACTTCTACAGAGCAGTGATATAGAGAGTATACTTACTTTCTCCATCACTGTATGGTGGGGTAACTGCAGATGATAAATCTGCACCGAATAGGGTAGTTAGGACAGCGTCAAGAATAATTGGGCTGGACCTCCCTAAGATCTGTGACTACAACACCCGTTTACTTAAAACTGGACTGAAAATACTTAAAGATTCTTTGCACCCTCCTAATTCTCTTTTTACCCTTCTACCATCAGGCAGAAGGCTAAGTAGCATCAGATCTAGAACCACCCGTTTTTCAAATAGCTGTGAGGTCCCTCAATTCACACCAACAATCCTTATCTGCTCTGCCTATACAACTACGTCCTTCTCCTCAGTGTCACTAAATGTATTGGCACTTTCTCTGATTTTTGATTATCTGTTATATTTACTCATTAGTATTTGTTTTGTTTTTATGCTATATGTTATGTATGATAATGTGTTGTTATTTTTGTCCAATATTGTCTTGTACTGTCCTGAATGAGCCAAATCACTAAAATGAATTCCAGGCGACTTGCGTCGTTTTGGCAAATAAAGACTTGAACTTGAACTTGAAAGGCCACATTTTTTTCTAACCCTCTAATCCTTCTGGTTTACTTCAGGTCCTATGGACACAGAGATGCAGAAGCACATTCAGAGGTTGGCGTCAGTTATGATCTGTTTCCCTGCCAGGAGTCTGTGGCCAAACTGATGAAGCTGCTCCTGGACAATGACTTCTCCTCAGGGGCACTCCTGGACGTCTTCGAAGTGTGATATCAATATGAGACAGAGTGAAGAATAATGGTGTTCATGTGGTGTAAATTAGTGCATGTTACTCCCTTGCTAAAGTTTGAAAAACCCATGCTCTTGATGCTGCTCGCAAGTAAAATAGTTCAGTATAGATACAAATAGAACACAGGACAGTGGCTGACCTGCAGTTGTTTTATAAACAATAGAAAAAATGTAATGCGCATAGTACAATATATAACAATATATTTATGTTGTCTCCTCCTGTTTGTTTTATACTTTTTGTGTGTGTTGCTGAACATACTGTTAAGCACTAATTAAATAAACCTCTTTAAACAAAGTTACCCGACTGTTCAGTGAATTGATGATTTGAAATGTATGAATATAATTCTGTATCAAGAAATTTTCTTTTGTGTTGGAGAAACTTCAGCCTTTTACCTCCATTTTTTTGCACTGTGATGTAAAACATAATCTGGTTACCATGTATGGCAGAGAATACAACTAAAACTTTGAAAGTTAAAGGATTTGTAACAAACAATCAAACGTGGCATGCAGAAAAGGTGTGGATGAAAACATGAGGGTGTGTGTTTATTCTTCTTTGTAAGACACTGTGGGGACCCAAACCTGGTAATCCAGTCCTGTTGTGGGGTCTGATCTCCATTCAGGGTACACTAAAGGTGGGGACAAGTTTTGTGGTATGAAAGCATTGATGTTCATAACTTACGTTGCAATTACAGAGGAATAGAGATATAGAGTAAGTTAGAGAAAGCCCCAGAACAGGGTAGAGGCAGCGAGATAGACCAGGTTCTGTCAAACTTCTCGCAGCTGTCCAACGTCACCTCAGACTCCTGATAGACAGCCCCAACTGAGGGCCAGAAATAACCCTCAAGGGCCGGGCACCTACCAAGTCATGTTTGGGGGTGAGGGAGTTTCTGCCAGTTAACTGGACAAAAAGCAGCAGAGAGCGTGACAATGAATTCAATTAAATGAAAGGATCTGAAAGAACAACAAAGAATTTCAGTTCTGTTACTTTCAAACAAGGTTCTTGGTTTCATTGTCCTTTCAAGACCTTTTATTTCTCTGTGGACTAAAGACACACATCACCACCAACCCATTTTCTGTGTCTGTTGGTACAGTTCAAGAGGTGACTGGCTATTTTAGTACCTTGGGTGTAGAATGTGCAGTTGTCACTGAAGAAGACAGAGCACAGATTGGTCTAGGAGTTCCTCAACTACCCTATTGCTGCATTTAGCTTCTCTCTACCACTGAACCAGCCGTTCACCACTTACTCACTGTTCACCAGCATCTAGTGCAGCTACCATGGAGAACGTGGCAATATTTGACTCACCTGGAAAGGGCAGGGGTTTGAAGGCTACCAAAGAGTTTTGGGCTGGAGACGTCATTTTTTCTGAGCCCAGTCTCGCAGCTGTTGTGTTTGACAGGTACAGTAATGACGCTCAGTGGTGGGGGATGTGTTCAGATGTGGTTATTAGGAGGATATTTGGGCAGTTGAAAAATGTATTTTCCTTCTTTTTTACCTCTAGATACTATTACTATTACTACTATTACTATTTATCCACAATATATTAGGTTTTCCTGTTTCGGAAAGCCATGGAGTCTGATTTTATGATGGTTTGATAATATTATATAAGTGCTGCATTCTTACAGTATGTTACGTCATCATGATGGTAATTTCATGTAGACAATGGTGCCTCGTTTGTAGATAACTCATGCTCAGGGGGATATTTTTACATAAACAAACTAAATAAGTGCTGGTTACATGAAAGAAGAAGCAATAAATGATAATAACCTTCTCTGAAACAATTGGAAACAAAAGTCACCCTGCTTAGACTTTGAATTTGTGGGACAAACCGACCACAAAATGTTTTAAGACAAAATTGTGACAGACGAAACTATTTGCATTTGTATTGTACAATAATCCTGTAGTGTCAATTTCCATGGTTCCATGCTTTTGAATTATGACTTTTAAGGCATCTTTTGAAAATTTCTAGAAAATATTTAATACAGAAGCTGTTCTCTATATGACGTATATTCGTATTAGGCCAGAATTTACTGTCTTCACATCAAACCTCCTCTATCTTAGAAGTAGCCATAACCTTAGTAATTGTATTCCTAGTCATTTTTATAGCTCTTACAACAGTTACCAACTAATTCAAGTCCACTTATTAGCTTTTTTGGAACTTCTACATTTAGATAATAAAGACTGTGAGACGTTCTCAACTTTGAGTTGATAATATTTTGTGATGAGTCTTTAAGCTGGTAGAAATGCATATTAAAAGGAGAAAAATAACTTACTATAAAGTGAATTTGGCCACCAGTAAGGTAAAGCCAACATACCTAACTTTTCCTTGGACAACTTTCTCTTAGGCTATTGTATCTACAATATACATGTGCTGTAATATAACATGTTTACCTTTTCTGTTTCCTTTGCTACAGTCTAGCAGAGCGTATCTGTCACAGCTGTTTCCGCAGACAAGACAAGCTACAGAGATGTGGCCAGTGCAAATTTGCCCATTACTGTGACCGAACCTGCCAGCGTGCCGGCTGGGCCGAACACAAGCAAGAATGTGGTGCCATCAAAACGTATGGCAAAGCACCGAATGAGAACATCCGGTAGGTGAACGGGAAAGGAAATGGGGAGTGACAGAACAAAACATACTGAGAAAAACACTTCTTCTAGCATTTCTCTGTGTGGGGGGTGTCTTAAATTTCTGAAGTTTTCTACACTCCATTATTGGTAATTCATCCTGCTAAATCAGAAAACAAGAGGCTGGTTTGTTGATTTTGCTTGATAGTTCAAGATAATTCAAGGGGATTTTAATCATGAAAACATGAATACATAGCCATGTTATAAAGCCATGTTATAAAGTGAGTTAGTCCGAATAAGTCTTAAATTAAAATTTAATTAGTTGCAACGTATGTGTGTCTGATTTTATCTAGACCAGTGGTTCTCAACCTTTTTTGGGCCAGTGCCCCCCTATCCATTATCCAGGTCCCTTACCGCCCCCCATCAGAAAAGATGTTTGCTATTTGCCCTAAATATGAAAAGTAATTATATTTAACTAATAAGTGAATGTTCCTCCCAAATACTGTTTTCTTGGATGGGGCAAGTGGGGGGATATGGGGGTCCTCCCCCAGAAGATTTTGAGCATTAAACACTTAATTTCCTGCATTGTGGTGAAAATTTCTCCTCCAATTTCTGACTTTTCTGCACCAATTTATGGTGGAAATTACTAAAAATTCAGGTGGAAGGTGACAATTCAAAATATAATTATAATAGAAAATAATCTAGTGAGGCTCTCAGGCATTCTTATTGCTTTTTAATATTTTTCTCCTGTAGATCAACTTTTTTAATATCATCCCTGCTGAGTCAACACACATGATTAAGTCTTACCTCCTCTTTTGTGGGGAAGTAATCTATAAATGTGTTTGTGGCCCCTTTCCATCTCAGTAATAAATTAATCCATTATAATTCAGTTATTGACTGGACTTTATTAGCTTATCTGTTAATAACTTATCATAACTCAGTGTTTCCCACAGAATAACAGTGTAACTGTGGCGCAGATACAGCATAACTCTCTAGCCTCGAAAACCCAGCTGTATTCTAACATTAACTTAGCTCTCCTTATTAGCTAGGCGCCTTACATGCTTGCTAATAACTTTTAATAGCTGGGTCTACTGACAGCCTTGTATTGGACTGTTTGCCCCGGGGAAGGTCAAGGCTGTCCTGCACCCCTGTCCGGGCTACGTCCCCAAGGTGCCGTCCAGTATGGCAGGGTCTACGGTGCTGCAGGCGTTTCATCCCCCACCTCATGTGACGGCGGAGGACGGGAGACTTCATCTGCTCTGCCATGTCAGGGCACTGAGTATTTATACTCTGAGGTCCTCCCGGTGGAGGAAAGCAGACCAGTTGCTGGTGTGTTTTGGGTCCCCCAAGGCTGGGCTCCCTGCTTCTAAACACACTATCAGCAACTGGATAGTTCAGGCAATAGGGCCCTCCTCTCAGGGGCTCGGGTTACGTATGTAATCCTTGTTCCCCGAGAAGGGGAACAAGACACTGTGTCGGTCCGCCACGCCTTGCCCCACCTGGAGCGCCTTGCGTCATAGCAAAGAGCTGGTTTGTCCCGTGTGCCAGCGTGCTTTATATTCCTCCAGTTACGCCATCCCACGCTATCGTCAGAGCAACGCCAATAGGATTGGATTAGTTTAATTCATAATTCAGCCCTGCCACGCCTAGAGGAGTTCCCATAGTGTCGTCACCGTTGCAGTGTCTCGTTCCCTTCTCGGGGAACAAGGGTTACATACGTAACCGGAGACGTATTCCTCAGAGAAATAAACACTTTTCCACCAAGAAAAAGTCAATTTTCCAGAGTTTACACAGTAAACGCCATGTGGGTAAAATTTTAGAGATAACACTCTGACTTCCCGTTCCCGTGAAGGCAGCATGAAGCTGCACCACAAGTAGCTAACAGAGAAAAAATACACTGTCTCGTCCAGTTGCAGTGGATTAAACTGGCAGGTTTTAATGTTGCACACCACAGTTTTTTGCAAGTAGTTTAAAGTTTAAACTCGTATTGTTGTGAATCTTAAGTGTAAACTCGCCTTAGAATTTCCAACCAACAAACGCCCCCCAAAAGCAGCTCAGCGCCCCCTCTTCCAAAATATTGGTTCCACCCCCTGTACCGCCCCCGTTGAGAAACACTAATCTAGACCGTTGAAGTCACATGTCTTCTTCTTCATTGTTCTTTTTATTGCGGTCAGCTTGGTGGCCCGCATCTTGTGGCGCCTTGACAAGGAGGGGAGCGTGGTGTCTGACATGCAGATGGTCACGCTGGAGGAGCTGGAGGATCACATTGATGACATGCAAGAGGATGATTTGAAGGACTTCAAAGTTGACATCCACAACTTCCTTGACTACTGGCCTCGTAACAGCAAGCAGCACACAATTGATGTCATCTCACATATTTTTGGAGTGGTACGTTTATATGTGTTATCCCTTTATTGCCCACCCTTCATTTTCCTGCTATTGGGCCATAAGCCTAAAACTGCAAAGTCAGGGGCTTTTTTTCTTCAAAGAACACAAAGATAGTGAGCTGAGTCTTTAGACAGTCTAGCCTCCCAGACATAAAATTGTGTGTTTAGTCATTCCTGTCAACTTGTAAAATCAAATATTTTCATGTTTACCACCAGCAACAGCTGACAAAGCAGTAAGTACCAGTGGTAAACCCAGACACGTTCCTTCATACCTTAGTTTACAGCACATGTAGTGCCATTTCACTTTAAATTTGACAGACAGATTATGGTAAATGGTACATTTTCACAAAAGTTATATTTATCTGTGAAATCCTGTGCTTAAGAACATGTCCAGGCTGCTAACAGTGACTGAGGACTATACCTGAAAGCAAACATCAGGCGCCTCAGTACAGAAACTTCCTAAGTCTGAATCCACGCTTGTCTCAATGTAAGATTTTTGGTATTACAAAAACATGTTTCCCAGCTGCATTTACTTCTGTAATAGGAAGATACGACTATTCCTATTTTGGAAATTTATGTTATGATAGCATTTAGGACATTTTTCTGTAATAAGGCGAGTAGTCAGGTGATATTTGAAATGATATGTGATATACTTCATGAGTTGACAAGAAGTTCAACCAAAGAGCTATATTTCCTTTTAATATTGTTTCTTTGAATAGGTTGTGAGAGGCCAGAAGGTTGGTTTGATAAAGACACCACGACTTATTTTTGTCCTTTGACCCTTAAAACAAATGTCACTGATGGAGACAGTGAAAAATATTTTTATTTAAAATTCTTAGCAAGTTGTCTGTGCAGAACATTAAAACATGGATTTCTGTGACGTCACAAACTCCATGTTCACGCTAATATTTACCCTCTTTCTCCCAGGTTAACTGTAACGGTTTCACTGTGAGTGACCAGAGGGGCCTTCAGGCAGTAGGAGTTGGTCTTTTCCCAAACTTGTGTCTAGTGAATCATGACTGCTGGCCAAACTGCACTGTGATCCTCAACCACGGCAAGTACGTAAAAAAAACACTTTAGTTCAAAGTACTCTCCCAGTGATTTCAAAATTGTGTTTGTATTCAGCTGTGTATTGTGTGTGTGTGTGTGTGTGTGTGTGTGTGAGAATGTGTGTGTGAATGTGTGTTGTCAGGTTGCATTTGGTGTAAAACTGCTTCCTGTTTGTCTTTCAGTCAGTCGGCTGTGAATACTGTGTTTCATTCTCAACGGAGGTGCGTTACCTCAGCCTAAGCCTTTTATGTTAGTGTTATTTATTAGAGCACCATTAAGACTTTGACATTAAATGCTTAATCAACTTATCATTACACATAACCACTATCCTCCGTCCCACTCCATCCACTGTAGAATGTCTTTGTAGTGTCCTGCGCTGTAGGATTGATGTGACTCAGTTTTCACTCTTGAATGCTCTAACCTCTATTTAGCTCATTTAGTACAACAAAAAGCTGTCATGGGTTTTTCTCTGCATATTTCTTCCTCTGCCGAAAGCTCATTTTCAACCATACAGAGTTATCTAACTGTTTGTAGTGTCCACACAAAGTTTTACTCAGGTACTGCTGGTTTTTCACTTTGTGTGTCTGTCCATGTGTGATCGCACTGTGTCTGTCCATCATGCCAACAGTGACTGCTGACTCCTTTCAGTTCACCTCTAACACCATGTAACATCAGGCTTAAATGTGACAAAAACAATATTTCCATGAAAATATTCAGTATTTAAGAAAATTATTTCATATTCAAGCCTTGATTACTCTTTTTGCTTCAGCATTTACTAAATGTTTGCAAAATGCTGAATGAAATCAAACAATTGAAATGGGGGAAAACGAAAGGTTACGATATGGTAACCCTAGTTCTATAAGCACAGGCTCCGCCCTCTACTGGACTCTATGGGTACTACCTCCTCCAATCACATGCATGCACTTGCCCACTGAAATTTTATCATGCACGTAGCCGACCAATATGACGTCGCTACCGATACGTGCGTGACGTATAAATAGCAGTGTCCCTACCGCCTCAGCATCTGACCGCCTCTTCAGCAGACGGCGTCAGAGCAGCAGGGCTCATCGGTAGAGGGCTCCGCCTGTTCTTATAGAACTAGGGTTACTATATCGTAACCTTTCGTTCTATCTCACACAGGCTCCGCCCTCTACTGGACTCTATGGGTACAGTGGGTGGAGCCCGATGACTGTCCGCCCTAGCCGCAACAAGCCAAAGTCCACCACACCAACCCGGTCGGCCACAGGCCGGCCAAAGCCCCGACCACCACATCACCTAGTGACAGAATGGTGGGACACCCCTGAGAAGGTCACTGGACCAATAGGGGCTTGGCCTGACCATTAACACCTGGACTGCCCTGACTTCTCACTGGAACGTCAGGCACTGCCAGTGTATGTTCCCCCTCTACACCCAGTAGTCACCAGATCCTCACTTTTCAGATCCTAGGTCGCACTTGCGAGCTGGATCCCGAGAAGGAGCCCGACATATCCAAGAGATAGAAACGCACAAACGGGCACAGTAAGGGCCAAGATGCCATTGTGCAGATCTCTTCGACACACACCCCGCTGAAAAAGGGTCGTAGACCCTTCCACACTTCTGAGTGGAATGTGCCCGCCCGTGTCCAGGCTTGGGAGATTCACTCACAAAGCATCCAGATTTAGTGAGCAGTTCGCCGTTTGCTGAAGAAAAAAGGATGCTGAGGCAGTAGGGACACTGCTATTTATACGTCACGCACGTATTGGTAGCAACGTCATATTGGTCGGCTACGTGCATGATAAAATTTCAGTGGGCAAGTGCGTGCGTGTGATTGGAGGAGGTAGTACCCATAGAGTCCAGTAGAGGGCGGAGCCTGTGTGAGATAGAACTGAATTAATTGAGCAACAAATATAACTAAAAATGGTCCACACATGTATAAAATCTCTGCTACAAGTGAGTACATTTAAATTTAGAAAAGTGGTACATTTACAAAATGAATGAACTGAATTTTGGCTTAAGTGTGAAATAATCTCCCTGATATTCATGACTATCCATACCTACAATCTTTCAACTAGATTGAGAGAACTGAAAGCCACACTATGGAAAAAGGTTTCACCATCAATTAAAAACTATAAACAAAAGACAAAATGGACTAAACAAGTCATTCTGCTTGAATTTAACTGTGTTTCTCTTCCTCAGAATTGAGCTGCGTTCTCTAGGTAAGATCGCAGAGGGAGAGGAGCTGACAGTTGCATATGTGGACTTCTTGAATTTGTCAGAGGAGAGACAACGGCTGCTGAAAACACAGTACTTCTTTGACTGCACATGTGAGCACTGCAAGAACCACATCAAAGATGACTTGAAGTTGGGGGGAAAGGAAGTGGACGGAGTCAAGGTTTGTCTGCTTTGATTTTTTATTGTTGCTTTTCATCAAGCTAGAGAAAGATTTTTTTTACTGCACAAGGCAAAAAGGGCCGAAACCTCTTGCTACATTCAGTACTGACATGGGTGATAAGGACAGACGGTAAACATGAGATGCAGAGCCACAGTGACTATTTTAAGCAAAGATAACTCCCTTTGGATTCAGCTTCCAAACTGTTTGTATGTGCAAGCATTCGCGCATGCTTTTGAAAAATAACGAGGTAGAGAAAAATGATGGAAGTAAACTTAATTTACTCAACAACTTCAAATTACTTTAGTGGCGTAACTGTATTTCAATGTATTACCATATACCAGGAATTATCTTATCTTTTCTATGTTGTTATGAAATTGTTATTCAACAGGATAAGCTTTTATAGATAATGGATGGATGGATTGATAATTTTCATTCAACCTCCAATATCATACTGCTTACAGTTTACCACTTTATACTCTGAGGTGTATAAATCAATCATGGCACACCATAAAAAGTGAGGTAATTCCATGGCCTTGACTGATACGGCTTGACATTATATGAATCTGTGAAACACAAGGCACTACAATTCCATCAGTGCAGTGATTACCAGTCCGCCCTGTGTGTGTCAGTGTGTGTAAAATAGATTGTCTATGTGGGTCAGAAGTTATAAATAGCATGTGTCAGTGACTAACCACAGAAAAGGTTACACAAAGTTAGTCTATTATTAACAATAGAAATCTGAGATATTGACCAAAACTGTATGCCAGATTTGGCTGTCTAATAAAAACCACAATAACTAGGAGTTGTCTTTTAATTATATATATGAGAGGTAAATCTTGTTTGTTGTTAGAAAAATAAACATTCTGGTCTTGGACAAGAGCCCTGGAGCATGTTGTCTTTAAAAATAAATAGTAAGTCCTCTCAAATAATATTAGATTAGGCATCTTTCATGATGTATTTCATTGTCAGTGTGTTAATACTTGAGTTGTGCAACTCATTAAAAATCCCTGATTAAAAATTTGATCAATGTCTCCCATCTTCAAATCTTAGCCTTCAGAGGAACAGGTGAAAGAAGCTACAGATTATTGCTTTCAAATGCTGGAGAAGATGGACAAGGCTCGACTGAAAGGGGACTACCATGAGGTATTGTATTTACTCACCTGCAACAGCAAATAAAAAACAGATTAACCAAAATTAGCTCCAGTTGTTTTTTAATCACACAACAGAAGTTAATTTTCCTCTATCTTATCAACGCTCTATCCTACCATACATGTTTAAGATTTCTCTTTATGGTGTCTTTTTCTCTTCAGGTGGTAAAAATCTGCAGGGAGTGCATAGAGAAAACAGAGCCAGTGTTGGCTGACACTCACATCTACCAGCTGCGGATGTGGAGCACATTAAGTGAGGTGCAAGCTTACCTGCAGTACTATAATGACGCTGCAGAATACGCCCGCAAAATGGTGGAGGGATACATGTGAGTACAAACATACTGAGCTATCTGTTGTGATACACATGAGCATGTTGTAAATGAGTAAACTCACTTATTCATGTATTCAGTGTGAAATACGTTATAAATCCATTCTCAAATAAATCAAATCTCTTCCCCTGACAGAAAACTGTACCACTCAAACAATGCTGCTCTTGGCATGGCTGCTATGCGAGCAGGAGTGACTCACTGGCAAGCTGGGGAGATAGAGATTGCCCACGGGATGATCTGCAAGGCCTATGCCATTCTCATGATCACCCACGGTCCAACACATCCCATCACCAAGGACCTGGAGGTAAACACTACTCGAAATCTGCACACAAAACTGCATTTAGATGTGGTTTAGCTTTTTAACAATGTATCAAATGATGATATGAAGTCAATGTGACAACGGGAAAGGGGTTCTTTCCAAGTGACGAACCTACAGAGAATTCACCTGAATCTGCAGCTCCCGTCGCCTTTACAGAGCTTTATAGCAGGTTTCTGCTTATTGTTTAGCTGTCCGACTTGTTGGTTTTGGTTCACTCTCACCGCTCTCAGTGTCATTTTCGACCACAGCACGCAGCTGTTTTCTGCAAAAAAGTTCTAAAAACCCACTGTGTGCTACCTGCTCAGCACCAAACAGCAGAAAGCTCAGCAACTATCTAGTGAACACAATGGAGCATTTAGCAGGGAAACAGCCAGATATTTCCGTCAGGAGATGGAAAAATCCAAATTCAAATGTAACTTGTAACAAGATACTTTATTTGATTATGTATTGATAGTTTTTTCCCCATCTCTTGCCTAGAGGCTGACATTTTTTTACAATTCCATTTAACTAATTGTCACGGGACTGGTACGAGAGGAGTATTTTTGTGGGAGTGGGACGGGACAGGAAACTGTCTACTCTGGCCAGGAGGAGTGTAAATATTGAAGTGATATTTGCCAGGTGGCCAGAAACATGTCTCCAGCTAATGTCGCCATGACTGCTGGATTGGCAACTGTTTGCCAGCAACTTGTTTTTATTACACTGCCTTCAAGTGGCCCAAAAATCATTACAATACTGCTTGTGGTGTATACGATATATTTCTCCTCTGAGCTTAGTCTCTGCATTTGCTACTGTTTTAATAGCTGTTGAACGGCTAGTCTATTTTAAGTTTAGATACCGGCGGTACAAAGTGGCATCAAAACAGACCTGGTTACTAGCTTTTGTATTATAGTCAACTCATAGGTAAACAGTAAATGCTGATGTTTCCACAGGCAATGCGTGTGCAGACAGAGATGGAGCTGAGGATGTTCAAGCAGAATGAGTTTGTTTACCACAGTATGAGAGAGGCAGCTCTGAAGAACAGACCAATGACCATGATGCACGAACCCAGTTCTGTGGAGGAAGGAATCAAGAATCTCTTCCATCGGAAGAAGTAGTCACAGGACTGCCAATGAGTAATGAGATAGTGTTTACTGTGAATTTTTTTTTTAAACACATTTACATAGTTTTCTGCATCTCAGTTACTCCCCCCGCTACACCAAACCTGCACAAGTTACAATGTAACAGTCTTTGAGTATTCAGTGTGTGCATGCACTCATTCTCAGGTGGACACTTGTCCAACAACTTCAGCCTTTAAAAATGCAATTTAAGTCATTTGTTTAAGATTTATGGTTATACTAGGGTATACATACTGATGTGCATCATCAGTATGCAATACCCTGATAAGAGTCATGTGAACAATAAGTTCACTTATGTGAACATGTTAAGACACCTTTAAGCACCTCTTGCTCATGTGACACATCTAGCGCCCTGCAATCAAGCCACCTGACCTTTAGCCAGTCAAGTCCAGACACACTTTAACCCACAGAAAGCAAAGACTAACCTCACTGATTTGGAACAAGCATTTTCTAGGGCCCATGGTGTTCCGGTAGATTATGTACTAGTAAAATCTGCAGTTTAATTGCAAACTCTACCAACTGCCAGTGAAGTTTTTGGTTACATGCCAGCATCTAGTTTAAGTTTGGAGCAAAAAAAAGAAACTCAACAACAAGACAGTGTTCCATTTTCTTTTATTATCCCAAGTGCAGAAATTTAGATGCGTTTGCTTGTCCTCTTGTACACAATGCCACCAAGAGTCATAGTCTGGGGAGAGAAAAAAAAAGTCACACACAAACTTGGTCAACATATAGTCAGTTATGTAGCGTTTTTTTGTCCTACTCACATTGACAATTGTGTTCCCATCCACCAGTTCTGTGACAGACTCTATTCCCTTCAGGGAGACCTTCAGCTTGTTGCCTTCACGATGAACCACCGACTTAAAGAAGCATAAGAAACATAACTCTGCAGCAGTCTTGCAATTTTGACTGACTGTGCAAAACATACATTAGCACACCATTGTGAATACATTCAAGTTTTTAGCTCATTTCTGTTTTGCATTCCTAAGTTTAGTGTACTGGCTTACCTTGACCTTCTCTCCAGTAATAGTCTCCAGCTCTGCCTCCTTTCCAATGGTGAAGTTGTTTACAAGGACCTTTGAGCCAGTAGTGACCGTCACTTTGAAGGAGTCACCAGCCTCCTCAATTTCAGAGATGCTTTTGACATCTTTGCCTTTCTGGATAAGCTCATCAGGAAGACCTGAGACAGAAAGCATTTTGACACCATTGTATTTCCTTGAATAGTTTTAGAGTTGTAACTTACCACTATGGGTTTAATATTGCTAGGCAAGTCGGCTATCCATGTTTGATTGCAAAACATGTTCCATCACCTGGTTAAACAGGCACTCTCCAAGCTAGTGGTCAAAGATACTTTATGAAAGAAAGCTGAAATCTTACCAATAGCCTTCATGAAAGGCTCAAAGTTCTCCTGAGACTCCAACTGGTACTTTCCAGAGAAAGACATGGTGACAGACAGCAAAGGTGAAGAAAAAAGCTGTGAGCTGCCTGTTTTATACTCCAGCTGCAATCATTAACCAAAGGTGTCTCCAATTAAGGCAGCTCCAGCCCACTTGCCATCCAGCAGAGCTCAGAAACGATCCACCTACACAGATAAGGTCAAAGAGATAAAAGAGGGACAAGGTGACTAGACTAAAGTTGGGTAACCCTTAATGTAGAGGGTGAAATAGTAAAAGTGTGACAGTATTTTGAAGCCAAGTGTCTTGTTGTTAATGCATAGTAAATGTATGTAATGATCTTGAAAGTCTTTCTCATTCAAAGTCTCACTAACATATGATGACATTGCATGAATGTAAACCCCAAAAACTGCTGACTGGGAATAATGAAGATGTCAGCTCTCAGTTTGCTGCTTTAGCTCTACCTTCCTTTACATTTTCTGTCCCTTCCCTTCTGTATTCTTGTTCTAACTTTTCTAAAAAAAAATTTCTTTTTCCCATTTCCCATTTCTTTTTCACTGCCTCTAATAATGAATAAGATGGAGTTTTACAGAAGCTGGAGTTTTAAAGATGTATTTTCTCTGAGTTGAATGTCATTAATAAAACTTACTTTTTAAAGTTTGCCTGCAAGCAATGGGGGGGACATATCAGAGGAAACATTTCTCCTTTTTTTGACATAAACAGAAGGACACAGATAATGTTTCTACAGGGGAAAAAAAAAGAAATTAAAGTTTTACAGATTCATGCCAACAATAAATGAGGCAAACTGATAAGATACCTCTCTTCAAGAACTGTAAGTAGTTTCCCACCACAATTTTCATGTTACAGTCACAATGCTTCTGTCCTAAAAGCATATTTAAAATGTATTTTTTTGCCAAAATGTTACTATTACAGTATATTTTCTATTTTATTATAAGGTTTGGCTTTTATGCCATTTTCTTAGCAGCTGGGAAAAAACACTGCTTGAGAATACTGCCATCTAAAATCTTCATTTAATTACAATGGTGATCAGGTGATGTCACTATTCAAGATAAGCTTCCTCAAATAAAGAGCTTTTTACAGAGCAAGCCCAAGATATGACAAAATAATGCAATCAAGCACAAAGCCATAGTTTCTCATGAGTGTTTCAGAGCATACTTTCTTCAGAATAGATAATTAAGTTTGTTTGGCATTCACCTTTAACATAGGACAAGAGCTTATGGTTAAACCATGAAGTTAAAAAAATGTATCAAAGGTGACTACCGTACAAGATAACCATCATAACTGTTGCAACAGTGATATTGTGTCACTGAAGTTGCCACGAAAACACACACAGTGTCATGTGAGGATCCTTGTTTGTTGCAGGGTTATGCAAAGCTGAATATCTGAAAGATAAAGACAACTGCGAGTACATCTGGCGATAGTGGAATATAGTGCAACACAGCAGCCTGATAAGCTTTATTATTCTTTACTGCATAAAAAGAAAAGGGATTTAGAAGGATTTAGAACTGTCTATATGTAGCCATTTTTGAAGTTTCATTCACATGTCTCTCAAATGAAGAACAACATTTTATACTCTCTCAAAACTTTATTTCAACATGCAGAAATCTGGATGACCACTGTCAGTATTCATCCCTATTTTCATACATAAAAATATATTGACAAATGTTCTTTACAGAAATATTCCAGGGGAAAAGAACAAAATCAGAGTGATGATGACAAACAGAAATACAACTATATGATCTACAACTACAAGTCCAATTTTGTCTATACAGCTGAAAAGTTTCCCATGAGACCTTGGTGGCAGGAGCAGCTCATTAGTGAATTCGGTGAGAAGAAGTGTGACCAGCCAGATGCAGGAGCCTGAGGATGATGTCACTGGGGTCGCTGCCTTCCAATAGGCTGGTTTGGTCATCTCCTTCCTCCTCATTGAGACAGGATTGGTCTGTAGTGCAGCTTTCTGTGGCATAAAACAAAAAACAAACCCATATGTACAATATGTTCTTATCAGGTTTTCTGACCTGGGGCAGTGAACCTTTTCAAGAACAAGAGGGCAAATGATCAAAGCATTGCTCACATTGACTGAAGTAGCAGAACTCAAATGCAAAGACACAGAATGTTGCTTATTTAATTGCACTTTACACTCAAAAGAGAGCTGGCATTGTCTAATATGTATGACTCTAACAGGAATCAAGCTTCTAATTCTGGCAGCATTATAAGAAATAACATAGACTGGATGTAAACTTAAGGAGTTGGGATGAAAACCAACATACTTGTGCCACAGAAGCAGTTATTTTTCACATTTAGCTGATTCACATTTTGTAATAGAATAGAAACATACTAGAATATCACATAAATCAATCCAATAAGCAAAGGTGGAAGGTAGTCCTTTACTTAAGTACTTGTACAGTACTTGAGTATCTCCCTTCTACTGCTACATTTCAGAAGGAAATATTCTTTCCTCTGCTATATTTATTTGACGGTATAGCTTACTGTTACTTTACTGATTCAGATTTTAAACATCTACAATGAGCATATAAAATACGATGCATAGGTGTTTAGAATCGGCTCCACTTTGGTCAACTGAAATGTTAAAAAACTGTCAACAAAGTAATGCAACGCAATAATTATTATCCAATGATAATGCCACCATAGTGGGTACTTTTACGTTTATACTTTTTAAAATTAAAATTAAATGTTGCTGATAATACTTCTGTACTTTTACTTAACTAGAGTTTTGAATGCTGGACTTTTACCTCTAAGGGAGTATTTTGCCAGAGTGATATTGCTACTTCTACTTTAGTAAAGGATCTGAAGTCCACTTTATGTTCTACCTGACCTGCATCACAGCAGAGCCCTGAAGCAGCGCAGCGTCCGCCCTCAGATCCACAGGGTCTCCCTCCTGACTGGCAAGGGGTGAGCAGGTAGTTCTCCTCCACACAGTGAGCTGTTTCTGGGGAGCCCAGCAGACAGCCGAGGCCCTCCCCGCAGCAGATACTTGGGCCGAAGCAGCGGCCCCTCTCTCCGGGGCCACACGACATGCACTTTTGGAGGAAAACGACTGTTTAGAATGTAATGTCACAGCCACTGTTCAGCACAAATATTTTTCAGTCCAAACTAAGCTCTTTTGTGTGCAATTGCTGGGGTTCAAACAGCAAAATTATAGGAAGCTACAATTTATTTTACAGTTATTTCTATAGATCTTCAACATCTATTAAATGTCTGTCCGTTTTGGAAGAGGAATCCCTGTTCTGCTGTTCTTGAGTTTCTTACTTTTTTGTCAGTGTGAGTTGTTTCTCATCCAAATCAAATGTGTAAGGATAGATGGTCTCTTGTGAAGTGTGATTTTGGGCCACATAAATAAAGAGTATGACTACGTAAAACCCTCATTGAATCTAGCAAACATTTGTCGGTTTGCTGCATCTGAGTTCAGAACTTCAAAAAGGTATTAAAATAGTGTTAAAAGCAGCTCACCTTGCGCAGTGGTGCATCCATTATGGACCTCTTCCCACCGATAGGACAGTTAGAAATGTAACAGGCTGAACATACAGACAGGAGAAAAAGTAGGCACACGGACACAGCAGCTCCAGTCATTTCTGCGGAGACAAAGCAACAGCAAAACTTGTTATTACCCAAACATACAAAACAAAACGTTAACTGACTACAAAATCTAAGTTAGACAGATATTAAGAAATCCGCAGAAAGCAAACCCACTTACTAAATCTCTCGATGATCAGTAGATTTCAAGTGTTCGTTTCAGATGCTCCTGGATGCTTCTTCTGTTCTTGGTGTCTCTGACATGTCTTATATATACGTCCAAGGCTTCTCTTGAGAGTGACACAGAAAGCCAAAAGCCACTTAGAGATCCTTAATGAGCCCGTTATGAGTTACAGTCACCTCCGGCGATGAAGTTGACCACTGGGCAGGCCGGGTCAAAGGGCAAGGTGGTTCTGTGGCATGCTTTGCTGTTGAGAATCATTATAGAAGGGCTCGTGGTGCGTGACCATGCATGTTGGAGATGACAGGAAAGTCAGAGAGGTGAAGAGGAGAATGGGGAGATTATTTAAAGCGTGAGTGGACAGGAGCGTAGTAAAACTTTGATCTGATTTTACTATTAAAAGGAGATACATTTTAAGGATTTTCTTGTTTTGTATTTAACCGTGTTTTCCTGGACAGATGACGGAAGTTAAAAAAGCCAGTTTCAAAGGTCTTGTGAAGAAGTTTTTCTCTGGACAAATGTTTTGGCTCAGAAGTGCCGCACACAGAGTTATTTTGTAGACTAGATGTTTGTAAACAAACACATTCATGGCAAAAAGACACACACACACACACACACACACACACACACACACCTCCACATTTCCATTTCCTTAATTCCTCACAGGAATTGACGCACACATCGGCCAGGCCTGAGGTTGATTGGTTTTATGAGCTAATTAACAAAGCTAATGATTGGCCACAACCCATAAAAGACAGTTTCACTGTTTCAATGATATGAGCTCAATTATTGCAGCTCTTCCTGAACCACTAACTGCCACATCATCTCAATTAAAACCAGAGTTGATCACGTCGTCTTTCTTCGCTAACTTCTAGTGAGACATCGTGACATAGACTGATATTAATTTATTTAGATTTCAACAAAAAGACAGATCATAAAACATAAATGCAATCACCATATGAAGACAAATAAGACAAGCTGCTGTCATGGAGGGTTGAAAACTGGACTGAAGCCTCACTCAGACAAAGGGCCACTCTTGCCTCCTAGTGGCTGTGTTGTTAATCTGTTTATGCGTTAATCTTTTATTATCTGTTAATGTTTTTCAACTGTCATGCTTTCTCAGGATGTGGACAAAATAACAGGGATTAACAGGGACTTATTATGCAATATTGTGCAATCTACTGTGACAACACCACAAACAATGCACCAAAAATTACAATTTATAAAGTAGAACAAATGCTCTTTTTTTCTTTAAACAGAAAGAAAGAATTATGTAAAAGTGCACAGCCCCTGTATGACAAACACTATGCACCTGACTGACAGAGCTCGAGGATCTGAAAAATCTTTAAATGAAATAATGTTGGTGCTTTTCACAAGCTTGCAGTAAAATCTTTTCATATTCCATCTCAAAACATGAAGATTTTATTCATTAAAAAAATGAAATCAATCATTCTTAGCATACATTTCCAGAGAAGGAGCTGGCTTTAACAGACTGAGATCATCTTCCAACAATGCACCTCACTTCACGGCTGTTAAACATTCAAACTGCATTGTTTTTCTTGTGTAACATCAGATCTTGACTCCCCGCGTTCCTCCAAAAGCTGTGCAAATCCCTATTTCATAGAGAAATGGAGATGTCTATCTAGTGTTTCCTTATTTTTCTGCAGGAAGGCACTAGGCTTGTTGACTTCCTCTCCCCTCCCTTCCTTCCTTCTCTCCGAAGGTACTCATCTGAAAAATGAGAACAAAGTGATTGTTCCTGTTCTCTTTCTTAAGTCACTTCAAATGCTATCCGTGGACGGGCGGCTCATTGTCAGGAGAGTTGCAGCGCGAGCAGGAGGGAGAGAACGCAGGTACAGGTACAACAGCAGCAGCTGCAGCAGCACTTCAGCCACAGCATCACAGAAAACACACTGAACTGGTAAGTTCCACACACAGACTTTGCTGCAGCCGCACACAAACACACACACACACACACACACACACACTTAAATGGCACTGACTGGCATGTGAGGAGGGGCTTCGGCTTTACTGGATTGTTTGGAATGCATCGTGTGGCAAAGTATAGAGTGGGGGTCTCTGCACAGTGCACTTTAAGTGGGAGAAGTGAGGAGGATAAAAGAAAACGATCATATCCAGGAGAGCATTTGAAACTGGCTCAAAGGGAAACACTGAACATGTCGTTATGCATCTGAAATTGTTGCAAAAAAAAGAGGCAGAATAATATTTCATTCTGGTTGTGGTTTATGTTTTCTATATATCACTAATCACACCATCCACATAAGTCCCTGTTGTGTTCCATCCATCCATCGTCAACCGCTTATCCTGCGTACAGGGTCGCGGGGGGCTGGAGCCAATCCCAGCTTACATCGGGCAAAAGGCGGGGTACACCCTGGACAGGTTGCCAGTCCATCGCAGGCCCTGTTGTGTTTATTTATTTTATTTTGTTTGTCTGTAATCTCTTGTTCAAATTCACTTATTGTGTTAATTTAAGGGATATTAACACTAGTCCTACATAACAGATTGTCTTTGAGATGTTTCAATCATATTACACTATCTGCATGTATGTGAATGTGGATGTTTATTGATTGTTGAGAGCTGAAATAGTTGATTAAATGCTCAGTCAACTGACAGATACATAACTATTCTGGTAATCGATGACTCATGACATTTGTCAAGCAAAAATACCAAACTATTCCTTACTTCAGCTTCTAAATGATGATGAGAGCCTTTTCTTTAACGTAGGTGATTGTAATTGATCAGACTTTTTTTTCCCTGACATTTGACCAAACAGTAGAACGATTAATTGTTTTTGATTAATTAATTAATTGTAAATAATGACAATGAAGATAATCTTTAGTTACAAAAGGTAATATGTGTATTTTGTGTGTATCATTGCACAGGAAGAGTTGCCGCATCTGCATATAGTAGATACAGATAAGTAGAACTTGTGGTCTTGCTTGAGCAGATTGATATGGATCTCAGCAGCTTGTCTGATAAGCACAGAGTTATTTACAGGAATAGAATACATACTGTATGTACAATATTGGATGTCATGCAGAAGTAAGACAGTTCCCCTCTGAGTATCACCAAAGTATGTACATATAAACTGCAATGGTGGTGTTATTTAGTGCTATAACACATCTTTACAGATCACAGTTTTATCCTTTTCAGTTATTTTATCGAACTCAGACTTCACGTTGCTCACAGTGCACAGAGACACAGATTTAAACATCACTTGGCACTATCAGTGGAGGAGAAAAGGGGAAGTTCTTGTTGGTTATCAGTGTGAAAAAAAAAGATGAACAGAGCAGAGAAAAAAGACATGGAGAAGCGAAAAGTGTTACGGGAGGTAGAGGTGAACATTTCACAGATAACTTCCTAATTTCAGGAGAGGACAAGGTCTATGAGAAAGGAAGAAGTGAAAGGTTTCAGGTTGAACACTAAAATGTGTGGGTGTCAACACCAAACTGTTTGTTTGCCTGGTCACATTCCTTCCAGAGAAACCTTCAGAGGAACAGTTTCACATCATAAATAGAAAACCAGACACTGAAGCATTGGATGTACTTTCATCAAAATCTTTTTACAAATGACTAGTCTGTTTTGGGGGTTTAAACAGAGGTGGAAAGTAACTGAGTATATTTACTCAAGTTCTGTACTTAAGTCCATTTTAAGCTACTTTTATTCTACATTTCAGAGGGAAATATTGCAATTTTCACTCCAATACATTAATTTGACAGCTTTTGTTTATAGCTGCTTTTCAGGCTAAGATTTTACATAAAAAAATAGACAAAATACAATGTATTGTTAAAGATGAACTGATTCTAAACATAAGATTTAATCTAAAGTGCAGAAATTGAATACAAATTTGCATAGCAGAGGTATTTCTTTTTGTTCTTCCTACCCCATTAATCTTCTTGGCCAGGTCTCCCTTGGAAAAGAGATTTCAATCTCAAGGGACTTCCTGGTTACATAAAGTTAAAATAAGATAAATAAATAAATCTCATCTCATCATCACCCACTAGATAACTCAGGACTAGTACTGTTTAATGACATTTAACCACTTAGTGTACTCTTTCTAACGCAGAAAGAAGATGGAAACAGACGGAGTGAATTTCCCGCCAGTAAGAAGTCCTCCTTTCAGAGGTGAGCTGAGACAAGCATCGCGGCACAGTTTCTACTTAAACCCACCTCCGCTTTATATTAAGCCCCCAGAATTCTCCCCCACCAGTTATCCCAGCATATCACCCACCACAGACACCTACGCTGCATTCAGCCCACCTGCTTTCTTTCCCATGCTCGGCCCAGCTTATACCCAAAAGGAAGGATCTCAAAAACGCAAAAGAACTCCTTTTAAAATGGACGCCACAGGAGGTGACTCTTCTGACAGAAGAGCAGAGGAGGCAGACGAAAGCAGCAGTAAGAAGTCAGTGAACCACATGCCCTACTCCCTCTCGCCTCACCCCATTCCTTCTTCATCTCTAAAGCCCATCCCTGGTATGATTGAGCTAAACAGACTGCAGCTCCATCACAGATCGCCAGGAATAATTCTACCTGAGCAGGTGAAACAGGAGCCTGTCAGTCCTTCCCCCGTTTGGCCTCCTTCTCATCTCCTCCTCCACCCTCCCTACTTCCCGTCTCTCCACCACAGCCTCCTTCCATACCCCTTCTTCATGCCCGGCCCTGTCATGCACCTCTCCCCTGGTTCTTTCTACCCAAGAGAGGAACTCCGCCCCAGGCATCGAAGTCGTGAGGGACCTCCTCGCAGTGGGACGACCACTGCTGAAAAGCTCGGTCTCAACGTCCACGTGGATGACAGTTATTATGTAGACGTGGGAGGTGACCAGAAGAGATGGAAGTGTCGTATGTGTGAGAAGTCCTATACCTCCAAGTACAACCTGGTCACACACATCCTGGGGCACAACGGCATCAAGCCACATGGCTGCCACCTGTGTGGGAAGCTGTTTAAGCAGCTGAGCCACCTGCACACACACCTGCTCACTCACCAGGGCATGAGACCCCACAAGTGCCAGGTGTGCCACAAGGCCTTCACTCAGACCAGCCACCTGAAGAGACACATGATGCAGCACAGTGATGTGAAGCCGT